TGTCACCCAGGCTGGAGTGCAGTGACATGATCTCAGCTCACTACAACTTTTGCCTCCTGGGTTCAAGTGATTCTCCTGCCTCAGCTTCCCAAGTAGCTGGAATTACAGGCACCTGGCACTATGTCCAGCCAATTTTTGTATTTTTGGTAGAGAAGGGATTTTTGCCATGTTGGCCAGGCTGGTCTCGAACTCCTGACTTCAAGTGGTCTGGCCACCTCGGCCTCCCAAAGTGCTGGGATTACAGGCATGAGCCACTGTGCCCAGGCTAACACCTATGTATTCTGATTATAAGCATTCTGAGAGAAGTTCCTGAAAACAAAATGTAGAAAACTTATTACAATAGGCAATATAACTTTCATGAGTACCTGTTGAGTAATTTATGCTAAAGTTTCATTTTATGTTTCTGCCAGTCAGCAAATCACATGAACAGTTCCCTGCTGTCTTTATATCGGAAAGGAAATCCTGATTCTGTTTCAAATACTCCTGAGATGGAACAAACAGAAACCACCTCTTCAACACCACGGTTAAGTTCCAAAACAGCCTCCATTCCCTTGAAGACTCCTGCCAAAGATTCAGAGGGAGGATGGTTTATTGACAAAACCCCAAGTGGAAAGAAAGACAGTTTTTTCTTGGAACTATCAGATGAGAAAAGTAATCCTAAGAAGCCAATAACTGAGATACAGGTATTTTCGTAATGAAATTTTAGCCCCATGTAGTTGAAGTACATTTCAGTCTTTTCATTGAAATGTATGGAGAATTTGGTCACGTTGCACTACTTGCCATTCTTTCTATCGCCTTTTCTCTTTCTTGCCTTAATTATTGAAACAGCCTTCCAGCGGTAGTCTATGTCCTTGCTTGTTCCCCTAGTTTATTCTTCACACAGAGATAGCTTTTTTTTTTCCTTCTTTTTTTTCTTTTTTTTTTTTTTTGAGACTGGATCTGGCTCTGTCACTGGGACTAGCGTGCAGTGATGCGATCTTGCCTTAATGCAACCTCTCCTTCCCTGGCCCAAGCCATCCTCCCATCTCAGCCTCCCATGTACCTGAGACTACAGGTATTGATCGACTTACGACCTATGCAACTTACGACCATTCGACTTTATGACCACAATCGCTAGCCACGACTGCTCCGCGTCTGGCAACGCAAACGTTGCCCAGCTGGGCATACGACAGTGCGGACCAGCTTCTGGCAGCATTACCATCTCCGGAGGCATGCATATAGCCTACTCAACTTATGACCAAATCGTGTTACGACCGGTCCGTCGGAACCAATCGTGGTCGTAAGTCGAGCACTAGCTGTATAGGCATGGGCCACCATGCCTAGCTAACTTTTGTATCCCTTTTTTTGTTTTTTTTTTTTTTGAAAGTTTTTAGTTTATTAAGCTTCTCGTGAAAAATCCACAACGGCCATAGACAACATCATTGCAGCACCTTTACTCCTTCGGCTTTTTGCCAGCACCAACATTGGCCTTTGCAGTCCCCCTGACTTTCTTCATTCTGTTCTTGCGTTCCTTTCGTTGCTTTCTTGAGGTCTTTTTCTTCTCATACAGGCCATGTCTTGCAAGTCTGTGTTTGGGTTCATTTTTCTTTGCATAATCCAGGGAATCATAAATCATGCCAAAGCCAGTTGTCTTGCTACCACCAAAATGAGTTCTGAATCCAAATACAAAGATGACATCCGGTGTGGTCTTGTACATTTTGGCTAGTTTTTCCCGAATTTCTGTCTTAGGCACTGTTGCCTTCCCGGGGTGAAGGACATCAATGACCATTTGTTTCCTCTGAAGTAGTCGGTTGGTCATGAACTTTCTAGTGCGGATAGTTACTATGTCGTTCATGATGGCGGCCTATCCTTACACAGCCGGGGAGGAAAAAGCTGTATCCTTTTTTTTTTAGACGGAGTTTCGCTCTTGTTACCCAGGCTGGAGTGCAATGGCGCGATCTCGGCTCACCGCAACCTCTGTCTCCTGGGTTCAGGCAATTCTCCTGCCTCAGCCTCCTGAGTAGCTGGGATTACAGGCACACACCATCATGCCCAGCTAATTTTTTGTAGTTTTAGTAGAGACGGGGTTTCACCATGTTGACCAGGATGGTCTCGATCTCTTGACCTCGTGATCCACCCGCCTCGGCCTCCCAAAGTGCTGGGATTACAGGCGTGAGCCACCGCGCCCGGCCACTTTTGTATCTTTTTTAGAGATGGAGTTTTCCCAAGTTGCCCAGGCTGGTCTGGAACTCCTGGGGTCAAGCAATTCACCCACCTCGGACTCCCAAAGTTCTGAGAGTATAGGCGTGAGCCACCACACACTATCATTCTTCTATTTAAAACTCGCCAGTGGCTTCATTCAGTCTCAAATCCAAAGGTCTTGTGAGCCAATAAAGACCTTTATGATTTGGCTGCCTGGCTTTCTCTTCAGTCTCATCTTCTACTACCCTGTTACGTATGTGAATCTGTTTCTTTAGCTGTAAATTTTACAAACTCTAAGTAGAAATCAAGTGTTTCTCATGAAAATTTACGGTCCAAATTGAGATTGCTATAAACTTAAAGTGTGTATTAGACTTTGAAGACTTACTGAAAAAATAGAATGTGAAACATCTCATTAATAATTTTTTATATTGACTCTATGTTGAAAGGATAATATTTTGGATATACTGGGTTAAGTAAAATAGATAATTAAATGAATTTCATATGTGGCTCACATATTCCTCATGGACAATGATGCTTCAGCTGGTTTCTAAGAACCAAGCTCTTTGATTTGGCAAACTTTTATTAATAGGCCTTTCCAAATCTCTTTGCTTTAATTATCCATATCATCCATATATAGAGAACATAGTTATGGTTGGCAATAACGAGTCTTAATGCTAAATTACTTTTTTTTTTTTTTAAAAAAAAACACAGAGCCTACCTTGTCACCCAGGCTAGAGTACAGTGGCATGATCACTGCTCACTATAACCTCCACCTCCTGGGCATAAGCCATCCTCCCACCTCAGCCTTCCAGGTAGCTGGGACCACAGGTGCTCTGCACCACACCTGGCTAGTTTTTGTATTTTTTGTGGAGATGGGGTTTCACCGTATTGTCCAGGCTGGTCTTTAACTCCTGAGTGCAAGCGATCTACCTGCCTCAGCCTGAATTATACTTAAAAACACGTTATTTTTTTGGGTTGGAATATTGCTACATTGCTCAGGCTAGAGTGCAGTCACTTTTCACAGGCATGATCACGGAACATTATAGTCTCGAAACCCTAGGCTCAAATGGTCTTAGCCTCCCAAGTAGCCGGGGCTACAGGTGTGTGCTAGTGTGCTTGGCTGAATTATCCTTTTTATGACTGTCCAAGCAGCTCTGTAGTCATATTTAATTTAGTGAATCATCAGCTGTCAGATGAAGACAACCATGTAGAAGACCCAGTGAGAAATAAAAGGCAAATATCAGTGTCCTTAATCAAGGAGCTCACAGTTCAGTGAGAGAGACAGAGATAAGTGAATCACTCATACAAGGCAGATTATGCCAACTAATAGTTGCAAATGCGGTATCCTGGGAATGTGAGGAAGAGCTTAAATCTAACTGAAAGAAGGCCAGGCATGGTGGCTCATGCCTGTAGACCCAGCACTTTGAGAGGCTGAGGCAGGCAGATAACCTGAGGTCAGGAGTTCAAGACCAGCCTGGCCAACATCTCAAAACCGCATCTCTACTAATAATATAAAAATTAGCTGGGTGTGGTGGTGGGCGTTTGCAATCCCCACCTACTTGGGAGGCTGAGGCAGGAGAATCACTTGAACCTGGGAGGCAGAGGTTGCGGTGAGCTGAGATTGTGCCATTGCACTCCAGTCCTGGGCTACGAGAGTGAAACTCCATCTCAAAAAAAAAAAAAAAAAAAGAAAGAAAAACTGTACAAATCTGGAAAAGAAGCATTCAAATGTTAAGATTTAGGGTTTTTTTCCCCCCGTATGGAATGCTTCACAAATTTCCATGTCATCCTTGCGCAGGGACCATGCTAATTTTCTCTGTAGTGTTCCAATTTTAGTATATGTGCTGCCAAAGCCAGCACCAGATGTTAAGATTTAAACTGAGGTTTAAGGCAGTGAGGAGAAGGACATTCCCAATAGACTGCATCTTTGGGCAAAGAAATTGGGAATAGTTAAGAGAGGTGAAAATGCTAGGGCAAGAATGAATTTTCTTTATAATGCCCCTCTTTAAAAAATAAAACAGTTATTGGCATAGAATTTTAAGCATGGCATATTTAAATTTATTTTGTTTCCAGGATTCAAAAGAGTCTTCTCTTTTGGAGAGTGATATTAAACGGAAAGGCAGGCTAAAGAATAAAGGAAGGAAAAGGAAGAAAGAAGATCTTCAGGAAGTAGATGGAGAAATTGAAGCTGTCCTGCAAAAGAAAGGTAAGGTGTGAGTCTTGTTGGTGACAATGGTCATGTTTGCTTTGAGAGAAGCATCATTCTGCGAGTTACTACTGAATCATTAATCTTTTGATCTCCTCTTTTGTTCCTACCAGCTAAAGCCGGGGGGTTAGACTTCCAGATCTCCAACGTGAAGTTTGAAGATGTTGGAGGCAATGATGTGACATTAAAAGTTAGTGCAAATTCAGAATTTTACCTCAAATGGCTATGTTACTAATCAGTTATGAAAAAAAGCCTATCTCTTTGCTTCTAATATGAACTGGGTATAGAAGAAACTGGGAAGGTTGCGAAGGGCAAACCTGACCTCTACCCTTTAGGGCATTGCAGGAGAAAAGAGGCATACTATTTTCAACTTTTCTATTATTTTAATTATAATATGCATAAGATCCATGCTTTATAAGTAATATTATCTTAACAGTACGAATAGTTCTGGTAACTTTATTTATTTATTCATTTATTTATTTATTTATTTATTTTTGAGACAGTATGTCCCTCTGTCACCTAGGCTGGAATGCAGTGGTGCAATCGGCTCACTGCAAATTCCTCCTCCTGGGTTCAAGTGATTCTCTTGCCTCAACCTCCGAGTAGCTGGAACTACAGGCATGCACCACCACACCAAGCTAATTTTT